GTTATTGAAGAAATGGCACCCAACAAAGATTGGATCGAATTATTTAATGATCGGCTAAATGAGACATATTTGCAAGGAATTAAAACATTTTTAGATTATGCATTTCAAAGGACAGGAGAAAAGTTTGAAATTAGATGTCCATGTGTCAAATGTTGCAATACGTATTCGAAGAGTCGTGAGGTAGTTCAATCGCATTTGAAAGTATATGGGATGATGACAAACTACACCTTTTGGTATCATCATGGAGAAAGGTTAGGAGAACTTGAATCTGATGCTTATGGCGATGCTAATAGCGACTCTGAAGATGACATTGATGGCGAGGTGCAAGAAATAATAGAAGACTTTTTCCCTCATGGTGACAAGTATACCGAAGGTGCTGATATCATTGAAGAGGAGCCAAATGATGAAGCAAAAAAATTTTATAGGTTGTTGCATGATTCCCAGCAGCCTGTATATGAAGGATGCAAGTCTGCAAAGTTGTCAATTTTGGTAAGGTTGCTTCACATCAAGAGTATTGGGAAATGGAGTAATGAGTCCTTTACAATGCTGTTAAAACTCCTTAATGAGGATCTACTTCCTAAAGCATCTAATTTACCGAATTCTTATTATGAGGCAAAGAAGACAATTAAAGATCTTGGTCTTTCTTATCAAAAGATAGATGCTTGTGGAAATGATTGCATGTTATATTGGAAGGATGATGAAGAGGCTGAATTTTGTAAAGTATGTGGTGACTCGAGATGGGAGAATGATAAGCGTAGTGGTGAGTGCAAGTATAAAGCAAATGGTAAGAAAATACCAAAAAAGACATTACGATATTTTCCATTAACACCTCGGCTCCAGAGATTGTTCATGTCTAAAAAGACATCGTCTTTGATGAGATGGCATCACAATAGAAGAAAAGTTGATGATGGTGCAACTATGACTCATCCAGCTGACTCAAGAGCATGGAAGCATTTCAATGAGTTGCATAAATCATTTTCTGCAAGTCCGTGCAATGTCAGACTTGGTCTTGCCACTGATGGGTTTCAACCATTTGCTAATTCAAAGAATTCTTATAGTATTTGGCCAGTAATTCTTGTTCCATATAATCTGCCTCCTTGGATGTGCATTGATCAATCAAATTTAATTTTATCAATGCTCATTCCTGGTCCTGAAAGTCCAGGGGATGCAATTGATGTTTATCTCCAACCATTGATAGAAGAGCTTAAAGTCTTATGGGAAACCGGAGCTGAAACATATGATGTTTCTAGAAAAATAAACTTCCAATTGCATGCCGCCTTATTGTGGACAATAAATGATTTTCCAGCATATGCCAATTTATCTGGATGGAGCACCAAAGGAAGATTAGCTTGTCCTTCTTGTAATAAAGACACTTCATGGACTAGATTACCTAATTGGTCCAAGCAATGCTACATGGGACATCGTCGTTGGCTTCCCAGAGATCATAAATGGCGAAACGATAAGAAGTCATTTGATGGCACGAAAGAGATAAGAGTGCAACCAAAACCTATTTCAGGTCATGACATACTTGAGCAAGTGAAAGACCTTGATGGATTGGTTTTGACAAAGGATGCAAGTAAAAAGGTGAAAATTTCTCACAAGAAAAGAGGAGATAATTGGAATAAGAAGAGCATATTTTTTGAACTTCCGTATTGGGAAACTTTGTTGTTACGACATAATTTGGATGTTATGCACATCGAAAAGAACATTTGTGATAATATTCTGGGTACTCTCATGAATATGAAAGGGAAGACAAAAGATAATCTTCAAACTCGGCTTGATTTGCAAGCAATGAACATAAGACCAGAACTGCACCCAACCAAAGAAGGTGATACATATACATACCGAGTGGCATCTTATGTATTGTCAGATGAAGAGAAGCACAAATTCTGCCTATTCTTGAAGCAACTAAAAGTTCCAGATGGGTATTCATCTAATATCTCGCATAGTGTCAATCTTAAAGATCACAAGATTTCAGGCTTAAAGAGTCATGATTGCCATGTCATATTACAAAACTTGCTTCCTCTCGCAATTCGTGGTCTACTGCCTAAAGCTGTTTTTGAACCACTTTTTGAGCTTTCCCTGTTTTTTAATACTCTATGTGCTAAAGTGTTAAAGGTTGATGATCTAGAAAAAATTCAAGCTCAAATTCCTATAACCTTATGCAAGCTGGAGAAAATATTTCCACCTTCTTTTTTTGATATCATGGTGCATTTGCCCATTCATTTAGCTCTTGAAGCACTTCACTGTGGACCGGTTCAGTTCAGGTGGATGTATTTTGTAGAAAGAACAATGTTTGTGTTGAAGTCCCTGATCCGTAATTCTGCTCGTCCAGAAGGTTCAATCGCAGAAGTTTATATAGCTACTGAGTGCATGACCTTTTGCTCACGGTATTTAAAAGGCATGAAAACTAAGTTCAATCATTCTGAGCGCAATTTCGATGGTGGTTTGGATGAGTTTAATGGTGGTTTGAAAATATTTAATCATCCCGGGAGATTATTAGGGGCAGGCAGACAATGTCATTTGGACCCAAATGAGCTTGAGCAGGCCCATCTCTATGTTCTGAAAAACTGTGATGCAGTACAATCCTTTCTTGAGTAAGCACTGCCCTATCATCTTGAATGTATTATCCAACTGTTTTAATACAATTTAGTAACAATTAATTTCTTTTTATTTTATAGAGAATATTCGCAAAGTGAAGCACTTTCCTCACAAAGTCTTTCAGATAAAGAATGGGATAGTCAGTTCATTGAATGGTTTAAGACCAGAGTAAGTACACCCCTAGAAATTTCTTCACCTTATTATAATCTTTAATTTGGTTAGAGTAGGCATTAAGCTTTATTTGTTTTGACATAGGTGTCCGAAATGCATAAAAGTGATCAAAGCGAAGAAATCAAAGACTTGCTTGCACTATCTCGTGGTCCTACCCAATATGTAACAAGTTATAAAGGTTACATTTGCAACGGATACAGATTTCATATAGAGGAACATGATAAAGGTTTAAGGACTCAGAATAGTGGTGTGATTGTAGTAGGAGAAAATGGAATTGATGATGAGAGCATTGATTACTATGGGGTGCTCGTTGAGGTTCTTGAATTGCAATATCTTAGAGGAAAACGAGTTGTTTTATTTCGTTGTAAATGGTGGGATGTATATGATAGACAAAGAGGAGTGAAAATAGATGAATATGGGATTGTCAGTGTTAATTTTCATCGTATTCTAAACACGAATGAGCCCTTTGTCTTGGCTAGCCAAGTTTCCCAGGTTTTCTATGCCATTGATAATAATAACAAGGGTTGGCATGTTGTGAGGAAAGTACAACCCCGTGATACATATTCAATGCCATTGGAAATGGAAGATGATGTTGAAAACCTAGACCATTTAAATGCAGCAGTTCAAGATGCTGAATCATCTTCTCCCTGTTTTGTTCCGACAACTATGTCTAATACCGAAGGTCAAATTAGTTTGGTAAGATGCGATATGGAGCCAATCTCAACCAGTGAAAGTGCACCAAAACAGACAAAAAAACGAAAAAAAAATTTGCTTTAGTACAGGTCTTGTTTTCTAGTGAATACTTTCATAAATAGTTAAATTTTTTTTTTACTTTTTGTTGATTTGTGTGTTAGTAGAATGCATCCTGTAATAACACTAATAGTAAAGGTTATAACGTTTGATATTTTTCAGGTCAGAATGAATTTAAATAGGCTTGGGATTGCAAAGTCGACAAAGCCAAAATTCATTAAACCGGGAATGTTGGGTAGGGGGCTTGGACAAGGACTAAGTCCAATGCTCTCTAATAACACTATGATGCCTTCAAAGTTTGCTACAATGCATGAAAGTGGCAATTTGGAATCCGGTATAATATTGTTTTTGATTATACTACTTTATATGACATTTTGCTTCTTTTAAATTACAAAAACTTGCTTTACTTTTTAATATTGTTACTGCATTTATGGTGCTTTTAAGAGCGCTTTAATAATGCTTACAGTGGGTGCTATTAAGGCGTAATTTAAAAATACTGGTTTCCTACTCGTTTGTTTATGGACATATAAATTCTGCTTGTAAGATGCTCTTTTGCTTCTTTTAGGTGGAGGGCTTGGACAAGGACTAAGTCCAATGCTCTCTAATAACACTATGATGCCTTCAAAGTTTGCTACAATGCATGAAAGTGGCAATTTGGAATCCGGTATAATATTGTTTTTGATTATACTACTTTATATGACATTTTGCTTCTTTTAAATTACAAAAACTTGCTTTACTTTTTAATATTGTTACTGCATTTATGGTGCTTTTAAGAGCGCTTTAATAATGCTTACAGTGGGTGCTATTAAGGCCTAATTTAAAAATACTGGTTTCCTACTCGTTTGTTTATGGACATATAAATTCTGCTTTTAAGATGCTCTTTTGCTTCTTGTAGGTGGAGGGCTTGGACAAGGACCAAGTCCAATGCTCTCTAATAACACTATGATGCCTTCAAAGTTTGCTACAATGCATGAGAGTGGCAATTTGGAATCCGGTATAGTATTGTTTTTTATTATACTACTTTATATGACATGTTTATATATATAATATGCACGTATTACAGTTTGTCCAGTTCTTTGGTGGATCTTTCATACACTTCATTCACATTAAACTCATTTTTATATACTACATTATCTCCCTACGATTATATATAATATGCACGTATTACAGTTTTTCTCCCTTACATATAGGTGTGTGTGTATTAAAGTTTTGTATATAACTATCTAATTCAATTTGTATATTGCATGGACCAAGTGAAAAGGAAAAAAACTGATAAGGAACATGCTGAAGATGGTAGAAAAGGACCGAACAACTTGAATGACGTGTCTAGAGGTGGTGATGTGACCTTTTTCTGTTTTGTTATATCACTGAAATTTGGTATAATTGAGAGTACTAATATTGTCTTTATGCCGCTTTTAACAACAACTCATTTTTCTGTTGTGCTGGCTTTATCCATGTTAGGAGGCGGACTTGGAATGCCTTCACGTAACTATACTATGGATATAGATGCCTCATTTTATGAAAACGATGATTGGGAATGTGGTAAGTTGAAGAAATTCTGCACCTGCAGTTCCTTATAAAATAATTGCCAAGTGACTTGTTGTTTTTCTTAAATTGGTTTCTCAATTTTTAGATAGCATGGATCAGATGAAAAGGAAAAAAACAAACAAGGATCACAATGAAGATGGTAGAAAAGGACTGAACAGTTTGAATGGCGTGCCCAGAGGTACTACTTGACAAGCTGCTTCTATTAGATCATTTAAATTTGATGTGGTGAAAAAAGGTACTGTTTTTGTACGGCTTTTATATTAGGCCTATTAAGTAACTGAATTGAAGGGTAGTACTTTTACAGAACTGAATTGAACTTCATAGTTCTTTTTCCTGAAAACATTTTAGTTCCACAACATTCAGTATTCCATGACCTTGGTTATAGGCTGGAATAGAAGACAAAAGAAAAACTTTAAATGGGCTATCAAACTTATTAACCCACTGACAGAATTGAGTAAGATGAGATGGTTGAGATCTCCGGACCAAATATTAGAGTTCTTTGGAGGATATGATATACTTGTGGAATGTTTTTGTTATCCGGGATGTGGTATTGTACTAGTTATATATAGTTAATATATAAAGATTTATTGACTAGTGAAATAATATTGTGAAATTAGGTAGAGGCCGTGGACAAGGGCTACGATCGGTGCTCTCTCACAACACTAATATGAATGGGGCACGGGCAGAAGATTTCAGAAAAGGATACCAGAACACTATAAATAGTTCTAATGGAGCTCAAAAAGAACCAATGCATCAAAGGCATGAAAATATCACATCAGATTCTGGTACTCATACTTGTAATTTTGTATTATTTATCTCTTATTTTAGTTTGAATCTGGATCAGTTCTAATGATGTTTTTGTAAAGGTGATTTCACCTCCCACACAGTTGTTCTATGCTTTGGAGAAGCGGAATACCGTGAAAAGAATTTTAGTGAAGATAGTTGTTTGCTGGATATTTTGGCGATGTGTCATAAGCTTGTTGATATCTATTCTGTTGGGATAAAAATAACTGATGGAAATGGGAGGCCACTCAAATGTGATCAAGATGTTGCCAATATGCTTAAGGAACATCAGGGGTTGGAAAATATAATCATTAATCTATACAAGGATGACACGATTCAACCTTTATCTTATAAGTTGCCACAACATAACACTGCGCTTAGTAATACTCATTTTATTTTTTAAATATCAACTTTGTTTATTATATCTTTCTTTTAAGTTTATTTATCACTTTTTTTTGTCTTAACCATTACAGCTAATCAATCATTGAATCAGTCTAATGATATGCCAAAAGAAGCTCATGTTGTGCATAATACATCATTGTCTAGTGAAAAGGCTAAAGGTAGTGACCTAAAAATGTTGTCTTATTATTATAGTTTGTTGTTATCCTCATACAATATATGATATGTGTGTGTTTGTGTGTGTACATGTAATATTTATTTACAGGTTCAGTTGGCAAAAATAAAACAAAGAAGGTAAGAGGAATAAATAAATGTAAAGAAGTGGCCAATTTGAAAAAGGGGGAGAAACTCAAAGTCAGATTTTATAACAAACGTGTTGCTGGAGAAAATCATAAATCGTTTTCGAGGCATTTAGGAAAAATAATTCGCAACCGTCAAATTTGTCCATTAACGGTGACCGAATGGGCAAATATCGATGAAGACAAGAAAGACCACATGTGGGCTGCTGTAACGGTATGAATATGAATTCATTTGTTTAGGATGTGTGTACTGAATGATAATTTCTAGTATGCTTGGATTTTGGGTGCCGCAAAATGTTGGGTTTAATTCCAATTTAAATTATTTCAGGAAGTATTTGAGGGTTTTGATCTTTTGGATCGCCGAGATGATGTTCTTTCACACATGCGGGAGTTATGGAACAAATGGAGAGGATGGATGCATTTTAAATATGTGAAAAAGCGGACACCACTTGAAGCTTTGAAAAAGGTTCCTCCTGGTGTAACTAAGGAAGATTGGGGATGGCTAATTAAAAATTATTATTTTACTCCAGAATATAAGGTATGTACTCCAATTAGCGTTTCTTATTTCTCTGAATTTGCTAATTAATTTCCTGAATTCTTCAAGTGATTAGTGATGAATTTTAGTGTTTTGTTGATATTTTCGTATTTATATTTAATTAATGTAACATCATATTTTGAAGAATAATTCAAAACTAATAACTACGGACTACACTGCAAGACTTTAAGGAAATGCCAGATATGGTACCACATTCTAATACTCCTCAGGTTATGAAACATCCTGATCACCAGGCGATTAAATGTCATGATAGTAAGGCAATTGTAGCAATTTAAATAACACATAAGCTAGAGAAAAGTCATACACCCTCCCTCCATACCCCAAAGAAGTCTTAATCTAATCAAAGTACACCTTTTTTAGTAGGATACAACAACTCTTGGAAACTAAAGTTCTAGTTACACTATTAACTACGAAGTAATAACTACAAAGTATTTCCTTGCACCATTACCAAGTGCAGCAGAATGAACTGTTTGAAATTTCTCTAAGTCTGGGTCAGGAGTATATATGTTTGGATCACTGAATTTTTGTTGTTTTGAAATGTGTTTATGACAAGGAATGTTGATTACTTAATTATATTGTGTAAATACAGGCAAAAAGTGAGAGAGGTTCGAAAAATAGAAGTCGTTTGACAATGCTACATCGTATGGGTAGCAAGCCTATCAGAGAGCTTATTTTTCAAATGGTATGTTTGGACTAAATATACGATATCAAGATGAAGAGAAAAACAATGATTTGTAGTTAATGAATATAACTAATTGCTTTTTTATGTTCAGATTAAATGTCTTGGTTCTAGTGTACCTATATATACAAATGTTGCAGATTGTCTTTAATGTAGAGGCTGTTTTCATCAATCCTTTATTTCATAATGTTTCTTGTTTTGATATGTGATAAACGTCATTACTCTTGCCAAGTTTTAGCATGTTCATACCGAGTTTAATAGTTAATATTATCGTGTGCTTTTTACATTTGAAGGGAGGGAAAGATGACAATCCGCCGAATATGGATGTTATATTTTATGAAACCCGCAAGAAGAAGGGTCAACTTGTGGAACCGGAAACAATTAAGAAATATGTGAGCACAGTTTCAATGTCCTGCTGTTTTTTTATTTTATAATTTTTCAGTTTTATGTAACCCATTGATTAATTGTTTAGGAAGAAATACATGAAGTGGTTCAATCAAATCCATCTTTGCCACATGTCGATGTAATTGAAAAGTGCTTTGGACCGCAACAACGTAGTCATGTCATTTGTTTTGGAGGTGGAGTGAGCCGCAAAGATTTAAAGGGGCCTTCTTCTAAAAAGAGTGAACTTGAGGCTAGGTTGCAGGTAGCTGAAGAAGAAAATCGGAGCATGAAAGAAGAAAACCAGAGCATGAAAAGTCGCCTAAGTACATTAGAAGATGAATTCCAAAAGCTTAAAGAGATGTTTCAAGGTCAAGGAAGCAAAGTTTAAGTATTCCAAGAACTTCCTTTTGTCCCGTTTAATGAAGTATTCCAGGAGTCGGAGTTTCTAAGAGACGTTTTATAGCTAGTCTACGAATTGGATGGTATCTACGTATTGGTATCTATGAATCTATGATACATTGTGATGTGGCATGGATGATAGATTTTTTTTTTAAATGAGGATATTAGTTTTGTTTTGAACCTGGATTCCTGGAATGATGTTATGTTTATAGATTTATATCAGTTTTCAACTTACTAATACGTATGATGATATGCTTTGGATCATACATTTGCTATATAAAATTAATATGTTATGTTGGGCATACATAAACTCAACATATTAATTTGGAATAAAAAAAAAGAAGGGGAAATGGTCTCAAATGCGCTAATCAAGTTGTCGCAAATAATAATCATGGATTGAATAAATTAGATTTAGCGAAGGGATAACGGTCGCAATTAGTCTTAGGAAGTGGTCTCTAATAATACCATTAGCGACTGCATTTTTTGCGGTCTCAAAAACTTTTTGCGACAGAACGGTCTTCCCGGTCGCAGAATATCATTTGCGGCCAAGCCTACTACGACTGCCACACGACCACATTTTCCGGTCGCAATTACCAATCAGCGACCAGTTTTTAGGTTTTTGCGACCACTTTTCCCTTCGCAAATAGAGCATTTTCTTGTAGTGATGTGACTGAAAGTGCAACATATGCACAACTAATATGCAGACGTTGTAATTATGAAGTGATTAATTTCGTAAAAAAGGGAATTTATTTCAAAAATATTATCATATGTGTACGTTTTAATAATAAAATGCACATCTCGTAACCTTAATATGTAGTTTCATGTATGTTGAGCACTCATATGCATGTGAGTAGAGTATATAATGCAGCCGCCATAACAATAAGATGCAGTATGAACTTCCAAAGTGCATATGGGAAGTCATAATGATAAGATGTAGAATATGAACTTTTAAAATGCATATGTTATCTTACTGAAATGTAGTGTATGAACTTCTAAAATGCACATTCCATGTTACTAATATGCATTTTATTAACTTCTAAAATGCACATGCATATTCATAAAATGCAACATATGAATTACTAAAATGCAGATGTCATAGCGATGAGATGTAGTATATTAGTATGAAGTATTAAAGCGCACATTTCATCATACTAAAATATAATATATGAACTCCTAAAATGCACATGTTATAATGATAATATGCAACATATGAAACTATTAAATGCAGATGCCACAACGGTAAGATGCAAAATGATACCAAAGTGTACATATTATCATACTAAAATGTAATATATGAACTCCTAAATGCACAAGTTATAAAGATAAGATGCAACCTATGAAACGCTAAATTGCAACGTCGATAAAGTTTATCACTATGTAGATCTAATATAAATTGTGGAGACATTATAAATATAAAATGCACATCCTATCACCTTAATATGCACAACCCGTAACCTTAATATACACATCTCGTAAACTTAATATGAACGTCTGGTAACTTTTATATGCAAAAACTTCTACTAGTGCTCATTTCTTCAATCGAGAAATATCCAACTTATCACGTATAAGTTTTGAAAATTGGAAAGTTAATTATGGAGCGTCTGAATCCGTAAATCAAGATATTAGTTTTGTAAATGCTATCATGTGTGTTTGTAGTGATATTACAATCTTCTTTGTTGGATAAAAAATCTCACGTTAATCTTTATATAAAGATTCAACTTCCTAAAAAGAAGTATAATGAAAAATAGATGGAGGTCGAAATATTAGTAGTGGGTTACCTAAAGTGTTTGGACATTGGTGGTGGATTACATTAATTAGTGGTAGAATATTAGTGATGAGTTATTTCCGTTCTTTCCTTTTCTGCTTGGAAGCTCCGTTTTTAAAAAGTTAAATGACCCTGATAACCTTTCCCACCGATCACTCCAATAAAATAGCCCAAACGATTGAGATTCTCTACATCTCAACACACGCTCCATTATTGTGGATGGCTTTTATCCGCTTTTGATTCTACAGATATGGACGGAAGTGATGAGTTTGTAGGTTAGCACCGGAAGCTTGGTTTGCATGGGATCTCACCCCTATATATATACATACATATATATATATATACATATATATATATATATAATATATATACATATATATATACACACACACATATACACACACACACACATATATATATATATATGTGTGTGTGTGTGTGTATATATATATATATATACTAGCGGAGTACGCACTACGTGCGAATGATGCCCAACATTTTCACATTCACTCGCCAAATTGGTGTGCCCTAATTTTGAATTGATATTTTATATACTTATCTAATTTTACACACGTGTTTGATTTGGTTTTTGTTATTCCGTAATTGTCTAATAGTAATTGTGTAGAATGCATAGTGAAGAAGTTGGTGAGATTTATTTTGAAAGAAACACCAAGAACCGTAAAGTAGAATAATAGAAAATAATTTGCTTGTCACCAGTTCTTAAGAAGCATGAATTCTATAAATAAGTTCACTAGCAAAGTGGGCTCGCCCTTAAAGTTACTATCTCCAAGTCATAAGGATTGATATAAAATCATAAGATAGAAGAACTTGTGTTTTGTGTTGGAAATATTCTAAGTATTTCAAATGAATATAATTAAATTAACTTGTTTCAATTAATTTCTTCACTTTAGTTTTAAACGTACATCAATTCTTTTCATTATCATTTTTAATTAAACAAAATTTTGCAAACAAAGTTTTGTACGTTACTTTTCAATAGTGTGTATTAAATCTAAAAGACACTTGCTTGCTATCATAACGGTTGTTTTACCGTTGGCAATTATGATTATTATTAAAGCATAATTATATTGATGACCTTTCAAGCTCCAACGTTCAATTTCTTTGTTGGGCATTTACGTGTATAAATACATGTATGTTTGCGTGGAGCTAAAGAGAGCGTGTGTGTTTGACGAGCCATTTGAGATATATTATTTTGGAGTTAAACATCTTGTGATATTTTTCACTCTGCTGGATTAATAATTTTCTACTCTCGTTGTTCTGTTACCGGCTTACGCCGAAGAGCTCGTTATATCTTGGGGAAAGGTTTTCGCTAGTCGGAAATACTTTCTTGAGGACAGCGTCTGACGCGTCTCGAGCTAGATTATTTTCTAACGTTATTTTTGCAGGGATATCCGGCTGAATTTCCTCCAACAATCTCAAGAAAGTATTAGACGTCGGATATGTCTGCACGTGTGATCTCACAAGGCGTTGTCGCTGCACTCATCACGGCCATGTTATTCTTGCATGTGTGGTGTGATTTAGACTGGTATTTGGATATATCTCTACGTATAATGCTTACTCTCTTTACTTTCGTACTTACAATAAGCTATACTTTAACACCAATTTTTGAGAAAAATATTATTCCTTTATTTAGTGGTAAAATGACAACTATGAAAAACAACAACCCACTAAAATCAAGTTTAAACTTGGTTAGTAGTGATGATAATTTTATTGCGGTTGTTTCTCAAAGTTGTAAAATGAATGATGTGAATGAGTGGGTGGTAGACTCCGGGGCTACCAAGCATATTTGTAAAAACAAAAATGTTTTTACCTCCTGTACTACTATGGGAGATGGAGAAGAGCTCGTATACCTAGCGGACTCTAAAACCGTTAAGGTACATGGAAAAGGGAAAGTTCTTCTTAAACTCACATCAGGGAAAACTTTATCACTAAATGATGTGCTTCATGTGCCCGAGATTCGGACTAATTTAGTTTCTGTTTATCTCTTGGGAAAAGTTGGAGTTAAAGTTTCTTTTGGTTGTGATAATTTTGTTATGACCAAAAATGATGTTCTTGTGGGAAATGGCTATTGTAAGAAAGGACTATATATACTTGGCATTTCTGAAATATTGCATGATAATGCTTCTGTCTATTTAGTTGATTCTTATAATGTGTGGCATGCTAGATTAGGACATGCAAGTAATTCTTATATTAAAATGCTAAATGATTGTGGTTTGATTTCTAGTAAAAATAAAATGACACTAGAAAAATGCGATGTTTGTGTTCAATCTAAACTAACCAAAAAACCTTGTCCCTCCACGTTTAGGGAATCAGAATTGCTTAGTTTAATTCACACGGATTTAGGTGATTTAAAAAATACCATCACTAGAGGCGGCAAAAAATATTATGTCACCTTTATAGATGATTTTTCTAAATACACTAAAGTTTATTTTCTTAAAAATAAAGATGAGGCTTTTGATAAATTTTTAGTGTATAAATCCGAGGTAGAAAATCAATTAAATAAAAGGATTAAGAGAGTTAGATCAGATAGAGGGGGCGAGTATATTTTATTTAATGATTTTTGTGAAAAAGAAGAGATAATTCATGAGGTCACTCCGCCATATTCACCCCAATCTAATGGAATAGCTGAAAGAAAAAATAGGACGAAAATTAATAACCGAAACATCTAAGGAAATGGGACTAGTGTCACTTTGAAACGAATGGGGATGGGAACCCAACTTGTGTGATTGGAGATCCCATGAAGCAAGTTCAAATGGGTAATAACAAGTCTTCCATTTAGTTTTGCTAGCCTAACTAAAATTGTCCATTTCCATGATGTGAGATATTGGCTAGAAACCGCATACTTTGAGAGGATGAGCTAAAAGCTCTTAATGATTATCATAGCCCTTACTTTTAGGGTGGTGTGCAAAAGCGGTACACACTTGATGATATCACCTATATGAGCGTGAGGTGGGGCCGCCTCTATGAAGCATGACAAAACTTCTAGAGCACTCATGAACACCAAGCACGCGCATGGCCTTACGGCGCACAACGGCGTAATAACGAGAAATTGTGCGGGGTGAGACACGACCGTTAAGACCCTGATTTACCAATAGCAGCTTGTTGGTTCAATAAACTATACGTTTCACCAAAAGCTCGGTTTATTAAGACTTAATCATCTCGGTTTGGTTCAAGTCTACGGACACCAAATTTAAAGTCTCATTCCTTTAATCCAGCAGAAATTCTCTAAACTACTTTTAAAATCTAAAAAAAAA